ACAACCCACATATCCCTCAACTGAAGAATGGAAAATAAAAAGGTAATGTATATATAGTCTGGAACACTTTCAGCTGTAAAGAAAAACGAAATTTGGAAGTAAATAGATTGAACTGAAAGGGATCCTAGAAAGTAAGGTAGCCCAGACTAGAGGAATGAACATTTCATACTACCTCTCCGCTGTAACCCATAACTCTAAGTCTTCAGATATGAGTATACATCCTAGAGTAATCCAGAAACAAGACAAGTAAATGGGAGCCACAGGAGGGGAGGGGTTTGCCAATAGAGAGGAGAGTAGCTAGATACAAGTGGTCTGAAGGCTGAAATGGAGTTCACTTTAATTATAAAGAGCAAAGATAAATGTAGAAAAGGGAGAATGGAATGTAAACTAAGTGTAAGGACATCTGAAAAAGTTACAAGGAATCGTATTATTTTCTATCTGCCTAAAATTATGCATAATTATGTTTTAATAGTTGAAAACAAGATGCTCATTTGAATAAGATATCAAGACAGATAGAGTGTCATTATGAATGGTACTTACCTTGGAGTCCAGAAAACCAGATGGCTACTATGCCAATAAATATCATAATCTAAAAGATGATTATTTAAAATGGATAAAAATATTCAATTTGTGCTAGGACTGGATTAAACAGTCAAGTGGTTACAGTTGTCTCTGGCTTCTGTAGTTTGTCTGTAGGGAATCCATCCTTCAGGAGAACTTATTTTCAGAGATTTTAATGAAATGCCCAATAGACGACTTGTTGGTATATGGGAGTTTAGTGAAATCTTATTGAAGTGCAGAGTATAAAATGTAACTGTGCAGATATCTCTGTTGCTGTTTTAGGTTTAAAAGGTATCCTATGAAAAAGTACAATAAAGCTATACGGAAAATGACTAAGATCACATAGCCACTATGGGGGAAAATGTTTTCTTTTCTAGCACCTAAGTTTTTACCTGAGGCGCTCATCAAAACAATAAGAGAAAATTACCTAAGATCACTTACTGCAAATACTTCATTGTTTTATTTTATTTTATTGCAGAATTGGGAATTGAACGAAGAGCCTCACCTATGCTGAACCCCAAACATAGACTCTTAGTATAACTTATATGAGAAATGAGGACACAGAGACTTCAAAGAAGCAGAGAACTGTGATCTTTATGTTGAGGTTTGGTGAAGTTTGAATATTCAAAATATGTGCATGATTGAAAAAAGCAGATTGTGTGACTTAGCAAAGCCTATTGGTTCAGACTCCTCTCTGCATGTCTGTACCTTCACCTTTTCCCATGGGGAGAAGCCAAGGCTTGTCTTTAGAGAGTGGCCAGAGACTCTCATACATCCTGCTCCAGAGAACAACGGTGGGAGAGTTCAGAGACATTCTTACTCATGCCGTGGTGTCATTTATTGAGGAGCCGCACAATTTAACGTGTCCTAAACCCCATCACAGAACTTTTTATATCTACAGAGAGCAGCATTTTTTTTCAGAACATGTATTTGTATCTACTGTCAGGGAACTTAAATGATTTATAGATACTTTAGTGAAGAAAGTATCAACATTTTATTTCAAATTGTGGAAATGCCATGTCCATGCTGTAGGTGTCAGTGCCATACACAGTATTATGTGTGAAAAGAGATGTTAAGGGATGTCCTGCATACCTGTGGACTCATTGAATTGACAGACTTGCTTTCTTTGCTTAACTCTGTAAGAAGCACAATTGTTTCTTTGCTGGTGAGTTACCTTATATTCATTGTATAAAAATATGCAGTGCACATCCATATATTTAAGTGGAATAAAATATTCTGATTTTTTACATCAATCTATTTGTTTGTGTATGTGGGGACATGTGTGTCACTATGTATATATGGACATTGGAGCACAATCTCTGAGAATTAACTTTTCTTTATCCCATGTTTTTCAGGGGGTAAACTCAGGTTGTCTGGCTTGGAGACAAGTGCCTTTATGTAGGAGTCATTTCATCAAACCAATATGCAAATTCTCAATTTTGTGAATAGAATTGCAGCAGGCTTCCTCTTCTCCTCTGGATGGGGTGCTCTGGATGACAAACCTATGCTGAGCTGAAGTGCAGACACCTAGGTATTTTCTCCAATCTGAGATTTTTAGTGGGCTAAATTTAATTTTTTGCCATTGGTATCACAGAAAATCTTTAATATTTGATTTTTCCTTGTCAGAAGAGAAAACTTCATGTTATATTTTGAAGCAAAAAATGACATTTTTTCAATCATATATGGGTGTGCTTGGTTTTGCAACAATTTGACCACTTTAGAAAATAAGTCTTTCAAATAAAGTAATGGTTTTGGCTGTGAGTCTCAAACATTACTCCTTATCTGAATGGATCATAGTAGTTAGAGGGCTATTCCTGTTCCCATCATATAAATTAGGGTCTCTTATTCTTTTGTGTCACTCTTTTATTACTAAACTGGTGTGACAAATGAAGCTGGAAGGAAAAACTGCAATTACAACTGCAAAATGTGTCAGCCCAGCAGGGTCAAGAAAAAATGTCACAGGGGATGTTTTCTTCTGATGTGGTGGAGTGATGGCTGAAAAAATTAACATTGTAATAAACAGAGCAACAGAATGTCTGCTGTATTTAACAGAATGACGTTTTACCGTGATTTATGTTTTAAGAAAGGACATGCACTAAAAAGCAGCCAGTTGACTACAACTCAAAAAACAATAGTCGTGCATGAGCCATCAGATTATTTTTCATGTACTCAGAATTGTGAGCTAACTGGCATTTGAAACATAGCACATAATGAGGGGGAAAGCCTTAAAAATTAGTCCCCATTCAAATTTGAGCAATTAAAGTAACTAAATGTGTAATAAGACCATGCAAGGAATATGCATCTGCATAATTCTACACCGTTAGAGATGTTTCAATTGTGTGTTACCTATGGCTTATGTTATTTGCTGTGATATCAGGAGACAAACACAGTCCATTGGGCTAGAAGGACAGCATGAAGAAAGATTCTTTCCATGCTTCAGATATGTGTTTTGTCAATTGGTTTGAAAACACATAATGTAAGTGTGCCACCAAGTGGCTACAGGACGGCTTGTAAGGACTTCTGCGAAACAGGCTTCAATAGAAATGGCTTTTTAGTGAATAATTGCTCCATTCATAAACAGAATTTGTAAGTGGCAGAGCTCATAACCTCTTCCATAATTCTCACTCACATGTTTTTTAACCCATGTATCTCTGATTCTGAGGTGAAAAAGCCACACACATAAGACAATTTATTATTCTTGTGTTTCTATTGCTGGCTGAAGTCAAGCTGGGGTAATTCTCAGCCACTGTTTCAAGGTACACGTTTGTGCTTAAATGGAGTGATGGACCAGGAAAGAGTGTTAGTACTAGAGCAGGTTCAGGGTCAAAAAACCTTGGTTGCTCATTTATGTGATGTTTGAAGACTGCAATTTGTTTAAACACTTTTCTCATCAATAGGATAGCTGACATTTACAGTGAATATTTTCCATTTTACAGAACTTGGAATTTGCTTTCCAGGGAGTTTCTCATCTCATAGTCACCAGGTTTCATAATATCTTGATATGAAGGTATCACTGCCCACATAGTAATCCCCTTATCACTCTAGTCTGAGGACTCATGTGCAAACTCTTATCTAATGACCAGTTTACGCCCTGGAGAAGCATGCCACCATGACTGACAGTGATCCCTGATATAAGTCCGTAGCACATTTCTCTCGTGGTTTAGTGGGTCTGCATTGGGCAAACACAGGGACAAATAACTAATGCAAGAAAGGTAGGGAATGTTCTCACGCAAGAAGGGAAGACTCGATTACTAGAGGAAGGAGGCATTAATGCAATCATGTGTATATGTATGTGTCTGTGTGGCATTCATTTCATCTGGACAGGCCCTTATGTTTTTGAGTACATGATGGTAAAGCATGGTCTAAGGAGGTTCTTTGAGATGCTTTAGGTTACTGACTGTCCAACCAAGAGACTGAAGGAACATTCAAGCAAGCGTTTTAACTTTGGACAATCTAAGATCCCTGTTCTTTATGGGAGTTTGTCAGGTATTGGTGACCCTTTCTGTAGTTTCCTATCATTACTTTGTTAACCCCAAATGGTTGCATATGTAAAAATATATTTGATTTTAAAGATTACAGTCATGAAACCCTGGAACATTAGTTTTTCTCCCTACTAAAAATCCTGCTCCTTAATTAAAATTAATATCTAGTATCATTTTTATATTGTGCAAGATTTATTATGTTCAATCATAAACCACTTTGTCTAGAGTCCAGACTTTCTGAGAATAATGATACATGCTTGTAATACCACCAATTGCAGAGGTGGAGTTGCAGGAGTAGGAGTTTCATGCAAGGGAGGGCTAAATGGTGAATTCCAGACCATCCTGGACTACATGAGTTTAAAAAAAATAATTCCAGATTTTGTAAAGACAAACTTAACCATTTTGACTTCTTCATTGGAAAGTGAAAATTGAAGTCAAAGTAAATTCAAAATAGTAATAATATTAATATTTCAAATAATGCATTTTTTCTACATGTACTAATAATACAGAAAAGTAGATTACAGTAGGAGAAACAAAATAACAGATGTAACTAAAGCATTTGATTTCTGAATTCAGAATCTTATGCATTGCCTATCTCCATCTAAATGTTGGCTAGTCGTCATATAGTTACTGATTCTCATCCAAAGAATTTCATCAGATATCAGAGCTAAGTAATCCTTCCTGCTTCTTTTGTCTGTGATAGCTTATAATCTGTAATACTTCATAGTCGTCAAAGAATTTAAAATTTAAAAAATGATTATATTTTAAGTCAATTTTTTACCTCTCATGTGGGTTTTAATGTGTGATAGGTAAGGCACAGATAATCGAATGAAAACTGTTTCCTGACTTTAAATGCTTCTTCGTGCTTAAACTGTCAATGTGTTTTGTGGCAGTGAACTAGCTGTTCTGAGGGACAAAGACAATATCCACCTGAGCTGCAGATTGGCAGATGGTTTATTTTTTTTGTTCTTTGCATCACTATTCTTTGTAAAAAAATCCAATTTAATCTTTTATGAATCATTATACATTTCATGCACTAGTCTAAAATCTGTTTTTTATATCCATTTTCACAAATGCAGAAGGATGAATGACATCAAAATTGCTTGAAGATTAAAAGGACGCCTGTATCATTGTGTAAGTAAGACATTTAGGTTTGTAGGGCACCAATTTAAAAAGTCAGAACAGACCATTCAGTTCCAATAGAGAAGTTCAATGGCTGTCATTTCAAATTCTCCTGTTTGCTATTATTCCTCAAATCCACAAAACAGAGAACATCCTATTAAATAAAATTTTTTCACTTGAAGTCTGGAATTGTTACTGCAAGACCCAGGTTATCAGTTGTAATAATATCCCATGCCATCCTGAAGGATTGTATATATTTATTTTAGATACACAATTTCCCATCAACAAAAGCATGTACTGTGTATGCTTTGTGGCAATCTAAATGAAGGGCAGGTGACCAAAATATAACTTGTATCATTTTTGTATAGTTTTAGTAGTACAGACATGGCTTTGAATGCTTTTCAAAAATCTAGCTAGGGGAGATGTACTGCCACTTTCTGTAATTCTATGATTAACAATTGGTCACTTATAACACATCTGCAAGAAAGTTTAATAACATGAATATATATTGTGATAGTTACCAAAATACAGCACATTCTAGTTAGAGAATATCACAAACTCCACCCACTGTTCCCCAAGGAAATAAAACTTTAGCATATACAGGTGATAATACAGTAACATTTTTGTGTTAAGCTTTTGTTTTATAATGATAGTTACATTTCTAGCTAAGTTAGTATCTACCTACGCTAATCACACAGCACCTTTGATGTCTTGAACAGAGTATAACCATCACAAGTGGGAGAAAAGAGGTTGCTCAGAAGAGCCCACAGTCTTTGAGATTCTCTTTTATTATTATATCTGTCACTGCATCAAACACGAATTTGACGTTTTGAGTATCAGTAGCACAAGTCATATGAGAGTAGATTTCCTTATCTTCTTTTTTTAAATTCAGGTCTAGAAATTGGTTCTTGATATAGTTCCCTGCATCTTCAAATGTATTTGGTCCTTAATAAACAAAAAATGAAATAAATAAACATTAATCACATCTTACAATTCATAGATCTATAAACAGCGTCAACAAATTATAGGAGTGTGCATTGCACAATGCTATCTGATGTATGGAATCTTAACGTAATCAATTCTCTACTGCAAAGTCAAGGTGTCGAAGGTCAGATTTTAGGGATTTGTGTGACATCCACATAGTGTGGTATACTATGTCAGCTCTGCTGGGATTTCTGAGTTGTATGATGATTCACTCAGATGCATAAGTAACGACATTAAAGCAGAGGCTGTGAGTCTGGGACACAGGAAAGTGGAGGTCAGATATGGGAGGGGTAAGAAGGAGGAGGGGAAAGAGATGATGTGATCATAATTTAAGTTTTAAAAAAATTAAAAGCTGACATGCAAAGTGAGTAATGCAAATGATACACACACACAAATACTGCATCTTGTGTTCCTATGGTGAAGAATATGAATTAATACAAGCTAAAAGAGAGAGTAAGTGAGACAATGGCAGACTAGATAGCAGAAACAGAGTATTGAGAGAGGCCTTAAGAGAGAGTTGAGAAGAGGAGAGAAAAAAAGGATGAAGGAAAGCCAAAAAGTGTGACTGGTCACACTTCTAGATGGGGTTGGATAATGGATTGGCCAGAAGGAAAAGAATGAAATTTTGTAGGGGCAGTGTACAAATCAGACAGAGTAAGTGGTAAGGAAGTTATTTCATTGTCTTGACTGCAGGGTAAGCAGAGCAGCTGAGCTGAGCAACAGAAGGTTGTAGAGAGTGGCTCTTGACTCCTCCATACAGGAAGAATGTTGGACCTGAGGAACTTCACTAGGATGACACCTGGAGCAGATGGGAAGGGCAGATATAGAAGCATAAAACAGTAAAGCTGGCAAATAACCGTAGCCACTGATTGGCTTCACAGCAGCAATGACTCACAAGATTTTCAAAGGGGATGAATTTTTTGATTTCATACTTGACTATTGCTAGATGTAAAATTCTAGGAGAAAAATAAAGGCTTCAAGCCGTATAACACAACTATGCTTGGAAGGAAACCCGGGACAGAGTTCTTGTGTAGCATACATAGGCCGTAAGTTTAACACCCAGTCCTAGTACATAATTGAACAAATAACTAAAAACTAAATTAAAATACAATAACATAAGATAAATAAAAATAAAACCTTGGAAATTAAGTATTGACAGGAATACAAAAACACAGGAACTGCAGCCATTGTTAGTGGGAATGCAAAATATTCTTGTCACTGGGGAAGGCTAGACACTGCATAAATTCCAGCAGATTCTGGAAAATGTGGAACTGTAATAATATTTGAAACATCTGTAGTTTCTAGAGTTTTGAGAGTGAGGTCATACATAGGTGCGACCTAGGTGATTGTGTGACAATGGAACTATTTCATATGATATTATACTAATTCTTTAGTTTGGATTTGAATATCCAAGCTAAAACAAACAAATGGAAAGGCCCATTTGTTACAGGTTTGTTCCCTAACATGGTACCAACGAAGGAAGTAGAAACTCTTGATAGATGGGGCTTTATGGGAGGTCTTTTGGCTACTGAAGATGTGCCTTCAAAGGGGACTGTAGGGAGCCTATCTTTTTTTTTTCTTGATTTCTTCTTGACAGGCATCTTACAGACCTAATATGCCACAAGCCTTTGGGCCAACTAACCATTGTTTGGAACTTTGCAAGCTATGAGATTTAAAAACCTGCTTTTCTCTTTGTGAGATGATTTACCTCGTGTATTTGTCATCTTAACAGAAAACTAATTAACATGACGTGCATTTACCAAAACACATAGAAACTATCAGACACAGAGAGAAAACCCTAATTACACTGTGGATTTCAGTTAATTATGTGTCAACATCATTCCATCAATTACAACAAGTGCACGACATCAATATAAGATGCGACTAATAGGATACTGGGGCAGAGGAAACTGAGGAAGCACAGAAAATCTTTGATTTCTCAAACTATTTATTTCTCTGTGACTAAAACCGGCTCTAAGAAACAGTATTAATTAATATATACCTTATGTCTTTATTTAATCTATACCATTAGGTATAGGGTCATATTGTATTTATTATATGATAGATATGTAGACATTAAAAATGATGTTTGTGATTCTAGAATGAAACACACTTAGCAAAAATTAACTAGCACAAATATCTACTTTGACAGGCTACCATGGTCTAGTACATCTAATATCTAAAGGATAAATTCATATTTATATTTATGATTAAATTATGACTATTTGCATCTTAGATAATTTTATAAAAAAGAGTACATCTAAGTAGTTAAAAATTGAGTCTCTAAAGGTAAATTAACCCTTTTGTGTGACACTAATACCTTAGTAGTCACTGAATGACAGGACCACCAGTCAAACTCTGGGACATCAGGAAACCAGAGAAAGAAAAGCACAGCAATTCCGAAATTCACTCATGCTGTTCACTGGCGACACTGTAGACACTGAAGTGCCATTGAGCTCCGATGTGACATTGCAAACCCTAGTTAGGGTGGGATCACAGTGACATTATTATAGTGAATGTAATGCATGGAGCTTGCAGTATCATTGAATGTGTGTGCACTCTCCTATCTAGCATTTTCCACTTTGTTCCATTTGGAGTTTGCTTTAATATACACAATATAGCAAAATCCCGCTCTGTTTGAAAGATTGTTTTCAGTGGAAATCATAGTCCCATCCATGAACTGCCTGTCACAAAAGCCTGAATACCTGAGTTGTATAAACCAGGGTGCAGCAGTGTGCTTCTGCAACCCCACTCTTGGAGTGAAGGGGAGGGCAGGAACAAGTGGATTCTTGAAGCCCACTGGTCAGCCAGTTTGCTCGCATAGATAAATATAAGTTCGAAGAGGGACCATGTCTCAAAAAAATAAAGGTAGTGGGGCCAAGGATTTTGCTTAGAGGTTAGAAGCACTTATTGCTCTGGTAAAAGACCTGGATTTGGTTCCCACACGCCCATGATAACTCACTAGTCTCTGTAATTCCAGTTTCAGGCTATCCAGAGCCTTGTCCCAGCCTCCAAGAACACTACACACATGTGGTACACAGAAACTCATTCATTTTGAAAATTAATCATTTATAACAGTGGAGAGTAATTGAAGATATTGGATATTATTCTTGAGATTGCACAGACATGTGCACAGCCTGCATGTACACACTCACTCACACATGCACGTTCACGTGCACGGGCACGCATGCACACGCACACACACGCACACACACACACACACACACACACACACACACACACACACACACCACAAGGTAAGGAAGGCATAGCACATGGCGATATCCATCTTCAACCAGCTTTCTATCCAGAATAGATGGAAATAAGGTACCAGTGTACTGTGGTAACCATCTAGAACTGAGGGAAACAGTGTTACCAGTATACACTGGAAACTATCTTGAACCGAGGGAAACAACGTTACCAGTATACTCCGGAAAGCAGATGCTGAGGTGCACCTTGGTCACCTTTTCCTGGAAGAGGTCTTTCTTGTTGAGAAACAGAACAATGGAGGTGGTGGCAAAATACTTGTGGTTACAGATGCTGTTGAATAGGTGGAGACTTTCATGCATTCTGTTCTGTGGTGTAAAGAACAAGAGTATATACGGTTATTATCTGCAGAGTTGGGACCTGGGCATCACAATCAAGGACCTAGATAACACGCAGTTTTGTAAGGTGGACATTGGGTTGGGAGGTGCAGTATTACAATTTGGCAGCACCGTTTGGTGCGCCTTGGTCTCTCTCCTCTTCCTCCACTTTTTGTATGGGACTTACCACTTCTTCATCTTCCACGAGCACCATGTCATAGGCACTTAGTGCAGCACAAAATATAATGCATGTCACTCCTTCAAAGCAGTGGATCCATTTCTTTCTCTCTGATCTCTGTCCACCTACATCAAACATTCTTTGCAGAAAAAAATAAAATGAAAAATGAGCCCTCCAAATTTTGTTGAATTGTTGACTCTGACTTCATATTTCAATATACATAAAATGCATTCTTTGATTTCTGTTGTATAATTTAAGCTGATTGAGCACTCCATAAAATAGGGAAATTTCATGTGTGCACTAATTCTCATGGAAATTTTAAAACAGTTTAAAATTTGCAGGAGTTTTTAACTCTTAGAAGATTCTGATAAAAGCTTGTACGTATTTTCAAGAAGGAAAAGAAGACTGGGTGTGTTGTTATGATACAAGGATTCTCTCTACATCTTAAATTTCTTTTTTATTCAAGCAAATATCTTTGCCAACACTGGTTCAAACCAGTCTATATGAAGATGAAAAGATACAATCACTATTTGCAAAGATCTTACTGGCTGGCAGAGAGGTATATGCATAATTGATCATAATGGAATGCAATTAAACATTCAGATATTCAAATAGCATGTCAGTATAGGGTGGGGATTAAGGCATTCTGAAGGATCTTGAAAATCACTCGCAAGAGGTGTTTGAATGTGTGGACTCAGCTCTACATTATTAAATCAGTAGAAATTGTCATGGACAGAGAAACAGAGAAGTAGCTAGCACTTACTCTTTACACCACACTCCCTTTTCTTCAGACAGTGCACGTCTAAAATGCAATCTCTCTTTCATCTCTTTCTTTGCAACTCTTCTCTCAGCAAGTCACCCACATTTCTACTGGGACTAGTGTAAAGTGTCCTAGATGATTGCTCTATTGCTGATGTCACAGGCTCCAAAGGAACTCACCCAGCACTCACACCTTTCTTAGTTAAGTATCCTTACTGTTGAATGGACATTGCATATTCACTTTCTTGCAAGGATTCTGTTCCCCTTAGAACAAGAAGCAAATTTGTGATAACTCACCGGCTGTGGTGACTGTTCTCATCCCCACTGGCCTTCCAGGCTTGTTTCATGTCATTCTCCTTTCAACACAGTAAAATCACAGTGTTGTCTTAATGTATACCAATATAAACCTGTTGTTGATGGGTCAGGACTCTCTGTTTCTCCTACCTAGCACATGCAGTCTTCTTTCCCTTTCAGTGAGCTAACTCTTTTTGAGACAGTCTCCTGTAGGTCAGGATGGCAATGCACTCCCTGTGTAGTTGATATTGTCCTTCCTGCCTGCCTTCACTCTCTAAGTTGTAGGATCAGAGGCGTGCGGCACCTTCCCCCCATTTCATTCATTACTACCCTTCTTCCAACTTTCATGTGTTATTATCAATGTCTTATCCACAGAGAAGGGTTTTCGAGAGTCCCCTTAAGGTCTCTCTCCTCATCTCCACTTTCTTTATGTGATACCAGTGATACTTCATGTGATTCAGGCCAAACGATGAAAAAATGCAATTCATCCAATTAACATCTGCTATGTTTAACAGAACAGCAGCCATGTGAAGCAGGAGCTCTGGGATAGTCATTGTTTTATTTACATCACACAACAACATGCCTGGGGCACACGGTATTTGCAAAATAACAGAACAGAGACCGTGCTGACAAAATGAATGGACAGCTTTTATGAAAAGTACATTAACGCTTTACAAGTATCTGGTATGAGATAATGGAGCGCGTCTCCCAAAAGCAACTTAAGTTTTTAGAATGTAGGGAGAAGTTTCTGAATGTAGGGAGGCAAGCAGGGAAGAGCTGTACCTGGAAATGCAGTACAACAAGTAGAGAATGGCTATACATGGAAACTCAGTGGTTAATAATTGCAAAATATTAGAAAAAACTCAGAAAGTGAGGAGTTTACAAGTGTCTGGGGGGGCAGAACACTGTCTCAGTGAAAGCAACAGGTAACAGCAGCAGCACAGAACGGAAGAGCGTCCAATGAGATGTTTGTGGCTGGCCAGGAAGAGAGCAGCTGAATCATGGGAAGATTAGATTTAATATCGCAGTCCTTGGTGAGTGGTGGTGGAAGATCTTAAGGACTTTGTATGGAAGGCTGACGTTGTTTATGTGTCTACTGTAGTATTAACGCTGCCTCAAACTGAGGATGGGCAGAAGACATGTATTTGATAAGGTAGACACTAAGTTACAACCTACAGGGATATCATCATATTTGAGGCAGAGACGATAATTATGGAAAGCATCCAGGCTGGACAGGCTCATAGAGTGACGATATTTAGCCTAACAAGCACCAATCACATGATTTCATAAAGATAACCAAAGTACAGTGCTTTAGGTCTGGTAATGAAATCAAACTTGTGACCCCAATACCTGGAGCAGAAGCAGCAGAGCAAAATTTAAGACCACAGAGTCTACATAGCAAGATGCTGGTTTGTAACGTGTATTCTTTCCTGCCAGTTGCCTGGGTCCCACCACTGTCTCAGCACCCAAATAACACACAAGATACTATATTAATTATGAAGTTGTTGGCCATTTGCTATGGTTTCTTAATGGCTAGCTCTGACTTAATTATTAACCCATAATCACTAATATATGATTTTTATAAGGCCTTATCTTACCGAGGACACAGCCTCAAGCATCCCCTCTTCCCAGGATCTCATGGCGACTCTCCACTCTTGACTACATTTCCCAGAATCCTACTTGACTCCTAGTCTCACCTATCTTGATTTCCTATTGGTCACAGTGCTTTATTTATCAATGAATCACACGAACTCATACACAGAAGGAATTCCCCCATCACTGGCTAAAGGATAAACAAACATTACTTTTTATTTCATACTTCCCCTAAAAACCCGGTAGACAATAGATAAATGAAACTACACATACCCAATGATAAGAGGTGAAACTCCAAAAAGTATAAAGTTTAACCACCGGCTGGGAAATACAGGTCACAAGATAAGAACATTAACAACATAGCTATCAACTTTGGAGCAAAGAAAAGAAAGTTCTCAAACGTCCCAAACCAAATCCCAACTAAGCTATACTCTTGGGCACATGGAAGAATCATTGACTCAGAACCCTGGAAGGAGGATCCTGTAAGAAGTATGCAGTTGTTTTTCTTCTTTTTCAGATATGTTCAAGTAACATGTTTAAGGTTGTTATTAATTGAACGTTTCCTGGGGCCATGCGTTTCAGGCACTATGCTAGGCAATATTATAACTAATTGGTATGATATTTCCCCCTTATATATAAAACTACATACTATACCAAAGGTCCCTAGCTAGTTTTAGCACCTAGATTTTCCTATAAAGTCCGCTCTAGAGGGCTAGAATAGTCTCTAGTTTTCTCTCTCCAAGTTATATGGCAGTTTTTTTTAATGCTGATAAACAGATCAATGGGCAAAACTAAAATTTCATCTGAGATATTTCCCCACATTTCAAAAGATATAGACCTTGATTTGTGGTGTTTAACATATTCCTCACTTGCCTATTGTCTGCATATTTTAGATCCTTGGATGATCTCAAAGGAATGTGGCTCTATGCCTAATCAATATTCATTAACTTGTAGGCTTTTCAATGTGACTTTCACAAGCTCATTGCTAAGATGGCATTCACGGTCACTCTGAGTCACATTCATAGATTTGAACAGATAAAAATGTCTTTACTTCTAGCTTCTTCTTGGGTTCTAATCCTCTCTCCAGTGACTGCTTAATGGAAAACTAACTTACAACAGGCCCAGGACAGTGGAATCACACATGAATTGGAGACTTGGTTTTCAAGAAATTAATAGTGGTTCCTTTTCACACTAAGAATGGCATACTAAGGGACTCAAAGACATGATGTTAAATTCTATCCACTAGCGGGACTTGGATTTGCTGGAGCGTTAAGTATTGTCTCTCTTGGTTAGCTCCTGTGCTTCACTGTCAATTGCTGTCTATTCTGAATTATGCTTTCTTCTTTAACTCACATGACATTTTCAATCAAATTGTCCTTTAATCTTTAAATTCTGAGAAAAACCTTCTCTTTTAACCATAGTTGTTAACTACTGCTCAAATCTATTGCGGGTGACCCAGTATTTTACCATGGAGATAGTAGTATGATTCTCAATAAAAAATAGTTTCATTTTATTTTATGTTTGATGCAGGTTATACTACAAAATGAAATAAAAATGACCAAGATATGAGAGTTCTAAAGGGAGTTTTATGGAATACACAAATTCACCAGAATAAGGACATAGGTGTTTCACACACATCTTACATACTTATTTTCTGTGTACACTTTTCTTCACATTTGTAAGCTCGTTGATCTCAAGTGGTTCTACTCCAGCTCTAACCAAGTGAAGAGTCTTAGGTGATCAACAAAATGAAAGCAAACCTTTCAGCTAGGTCCTTACCTTTGCTGAGGATCTAACAACATTGCTGTGGACTAGTAACTCATGGCAGGTATGAGAGGGGGTGCTCTTCATGTAAATATTAACAGTGGAGATATGTAACAGTAGTGAGATAACTTTAGCATTGTATAAATGTATTTGAATTGCATGCTCTGCCTGAGAAACAACGTAATAGTTGAGTTGTCTTTGCATCTGAGTGGAAAATAATATTTTTCCCACTAAAACTGAGCCCTTGAAGAGTTGATATATGATTAAAAATATTATTACTTCTTAACCAAACTCATTGTCAGTGAGATGTGGGACTTACAGAACATGCCTTTAACCCTGTTCTCGCGGAATTGAATAGCTTCCTCTGAACTTGTCTCACATGCTCAGCTTTCTTTCAAGAAAGGGAGGACAAAGATTATGCAGTCTTTGTTCATATTGACTAAGTATTCTGACAGTCCATCTATGCATGAATGTTTGTGATCCTCCCATTTATGACTCACATGAGTCACTGCACTGTTTTCTGTACAGAATGACACAGAAGCTTGAGGCCAGAGTTCTCTGCACATTTCTCTAAGCCACCTGCTGTTATTGAACTGAAATGCTCATTAGCTAACTAGATCAAAGTCCAGAGAGTTGCTTTTGTGTTGCTTTTCCTGGACATCATATTAGCTTTGTGAATAGTTGGGTCTTGTTTCTCTATTATTATAATGATTTATTTCTCATATATAT